CTGTTCTGCTTCTCCCCCCTTTTTCTTTTTCAACAAATTACCAGACTACCTGGACATTAGCCTGGATAATTGCAGAGGAATTAGTTGCTCTACCTAGGAGCCTGTAAGTTTATTGTCGGACAAGTCTCAGCAAGATCCGTGTACATTTACCTTATCAATTCTTATAATATGCAGACCTAGATTTATCTTGCATTGGTTCCCAGGCATTCGTGGTTCGTTGTAACTCGCGCCAACTATCCCGTTGTACACTGTAGAGTCTGAAACATTATCTATAATTTTATGTGAAAGATGTTTGCCTTCTATATGAAGTCAATGTATCGTATGAAATATTTAAGTAACTGAAAAACCTTTTACAGAAAAATATGTTGGCGATTTCAACATTTTGATCTTGCTTGTAAGCTGACATGCCCATTGTAACATGTTCTTTTTTGAGAACAAGTTTGCCTTTATTAGTATATGGATAGTATTTGGTAAGTCGCATGCCTTGGTCTGATATGCCTTAGGAATGGTAGCTACATTTGTCAAAGGGGGACGTTTTTTTTATCATTCAATATCTAGAATCCTTTTCCGTCCTAGGAAGTAGTGAATGAATGCTTTATCAACTTCGCCTCTTGAATATCCTAGACCTCAATGACATCACTCATGTATTTGCCTAGATTGAGCTCCGAATATGGTGTATAAAAAAATATCCTCATATCCCGCAAATATTTAAGCACGTGACTGGTTAGGAGAACACACACATAGCCGTCATTGACGTCACATAATGAAGTTTCGGTTGTTTTTCATTCTTGCTGTTCAGCGGCTGAGTATTCTACGCAGTCATTACTGAATAAATTTTGGAGAATATGGACGTAATGTTGAACGTTCCTGAGAGTATCCTCTGATTTTGCTCCTGCAAACTAAGAGAAAGTTTAGAAAGGCATTTAATGTTTATTATTGTCATTAAAGTTGATCAGGATTTCGGGCTAGTTGTTGTTGGATGGGAATCTAAACTACCATCATTCATGTAAACTGGTTGCATTAACATTGGACTTGACAGTAGATCCTGTCCATTAAATGAAATCAGGAATCAATCATTTTTAGATCACCGTTAAAAATCTGGTTGCACTGAAAGACGTCCGTTTTGTTCTGGTTTGTGACTCACCAACTGTGCGCATCCACGACGCTTGCCATCCCCAGGAGCTTCGGTCTTGCGTGAGAACTCCTAACCTCTCCACCACTGGGCCGGCATCCAGCGGCGTAAATTTCTAACTCCGGTCAATCTACGGATTTTGCGCAACCTCACCCATTGTCTTCGGTAATTGTAGCTTACACCCCAGAGGGTTGTACTCCACTGGCCACGTCTTCCCACTAGAACTCTGAGAATTTCCTCACGAAGCTGGTCAGTAGCGGGTACATTGTACGATTGTTCCATTAGAGATATGAAGATTTTTGTTTATTACTGACATCATGAATCAGTAAATTGTAGGTGGGCCACAACTGCATTTTCAGAGTGGGAAGTATGCTAAGAGTGTCTAACACTGTCAATGTTATGACGGTGCTGAGTTTCAGCATATCACTACCATCAAAACGAAGGGGAGATGGAAGTACTGACTAGCACAAATCACTGATCAAGGCAATGATTTCAGTGCACTCATATTTCGGGTCAGAATATTTTGTTAATCTCCGGTTCTTTGTGGTTAGTTATGAGGAAACCATGTTTTCCATCATGTTTCTCAGCTGCTTTTGTTTTTGTTATTCTACGAAGTCGCTCTTTAGCACTTAATTCCGGACAATCAGGCCCAGACCTAGTGGTGAGTGTTCTATGACAACAATATAAAAAGGTAATCAGTAACAAAGCAATTATGATGAAGTAATTTTAGAATTTTGGCGCTTTACGTTTCTGTTAATTTCTAGAAAGTTTCGAAAATTTATCCTATTCCACTCTTTAAATTTTCTTTCACCTACTGAAACATGTTTCCATGTTACTATTTAGTATACACTACATATAGCTGCTACTGGGTCAGTCAGTCAGTCAGTTGCAACGTAGAACTTCGTACGTAAGTACATCAGTTCATGTCGCCATACCACATCAGCACAGAGATGTAATAGTCAATTCAAATCCAATAGAAGAAGAGGTCGTAAAGGTATTAGAAGTAATCGGAGAGGTTAGGATTAGGAGATATTATTCATGAAGTATGATTCAATGAGATAAGTTTAGAAAGTAAAAACTAGAGGTATTGTAGAACTCAGAAGATTAGGATTTGAGAGAACACAAAGAATAAATGCACCTGCGCCATTGCGAACGATTTTGAGCCATGTCATTCAAGGTCTCTAGCCATCGATTATTATCATCTCGCGGACCCCAACCAGGTAGTCGACAATTACCGACATGGCTAAGTCCACTCGTCAATGACTTCATGGATTTCTGCCATGTTTTGGTCTGGCCGCCCCTAGCTTTCTTCCAACCTATTCCTACACTACAAAACAAAGCTCGACGAGGCAGTCGGTGATTAGGCATACGCAACACGTGTCCCAACCACCTCAACTGATGAAGTTTCACCACTTCATCGATTGATCTGCCATTCTTACCTAGTACCCGTTTCCTAATAACAGCGTTGCTCACTCGGTTGTCCCACGATATACGAGCAATGCTTCGAAGACATCTATGATCGAAAACCAATAACCGACGAGTATCTTCAACTCTCATTGGCCATGTTTCACAGCCATAAAGTAAGACGGAGCGAACCACTGCGCAGTACACTCGTCCTTTAGTCAGCAAACGGATATCTCGCCTACGCCATAAGTGACGCAGGTTGGCGAAAGCCAATCGAGCCTTCTGTATCCGTGCCGAGATTTCGTCAGTCACCAGGCCATCGGCACTGATGAGACTCCCAAGATAAGTGAAGCGGTCTACACGTTCGACTACTTCACTCCCTATCACTAGTTCAGGTGCTGTTGCAACCCAATCTTGAAGCAACATTTTGCATTTCGAGGGGGAAAACCGCATCCCGAACATGCTTGCATTGTTGCTTAGGGTAGTCAGAAGACTCTGCATTTTGTCAGCGTCTTCACCAAGTAGGACAATGTCATCGGCATATTCTAAGTCAATAAGCGAGCCACCTGGTAAAAGGTCTACTCCAGAAAATTCAGACGAGGATAAGGTTATTTCTAGGAGCATGTCAATGATAAAATTAAACAAGAATGGAGAGAGTGGACATCCCTGACGGACACCACTTGATGTAGAGAATTCTGGTGACAGTTCGCCATAAGCTCTCACTCGACCAGTGGTGTTTGAGTAGAGAGCTTGTATGAGGTTAATGTACTTCTTTGGTACACCTTTCAATGACAGACACTGCCACAGAACCTCACGATCCACTGAGTCAAATGCCGCCTTAAGGTCCAGGAAAACAACTATTGTAGGACGCCTAAATGTGTGTCTGTGTTCCAGGACCTGTCGTAGTGTGAAAATGTGGTCTATACAACCACGTCCAGGTCGAAAACCAGATTGGTTTTCTCGAGTCTGCTCTTCACGAGCTTTCGTTAAGCGTCGAAGTATTATTGAGGCCAATATTTTAGATACTATATTAGTTAGACTTATTCCCCTGTGATTGTCACAAGAAGACTTCTGTCCTTTCTTATAGATTGGGACAATCAGTGATTGAGACCAGTCGGATGGGATTACGTCCAGCTCCCAGATCCTGCCTAAGATCTCAGTCAACCTAGCTGCTAAAACTGGACCACCATCCTTAAATATCTCAGGGGTCAGTCTATCAGGACCTGCAGCTCGTCCTCGCTTCAGATTTCCTAAAGCTTTTTCAACTTCATTAAGACTAGGGGGACTTACGTCGATTTGCCATTCAGGATGACTGGAGATCGTGGGTAACTGAAGAGTGGCTCGAGGCCAGTTGAACTGATCCCTAAAGTGTTCTGCCCATCGATCCAGTCTCCTGGATTGAGAATGAATAATAGTCCCGTCATTTTCTGAGATAGTCTCGCTTACACTAGGATTCCTAATACCAGTTTCCTTGATAAGTCGGAAAAGTTGTCTACTGTTGCCTATCGCCGCTGCCTTTTCCATCGCTTTTGCTTTCGCCACCCACCACTGTTCGCGATCGTTACGTAGGCTTTTTATAAGCTGCTACTGGGTATCCAGAATATATTTGTTGACAGTCCATTCCTTTGGTTGATGGTTAGTTTGAGCTCCCCTTCCAGTTAAAATAAGTAGACCCTCCGCACTGTTTGTAATCGGCTTTCATCAATCACTCGTTACTATTAGTTCTACTGTCCATTTTACATTCTCCCAGTTATTTCCTTGACCGCGAGTGTAGCGAATAACGGTGAAGTTGAGAGCAGCTTTGCATTTACCAAGGTCTATAAGTAGTGCCACTTTCTGGACGGATCATAGCAACATCAAACTCATTTATAAACTTGTTAGTGAATCTATACTAATGCATCACCATATGTTTGAACTGACTTTATTTGTTGAACAATCCTGCCTGGGTAGTACCCTAACTGAAAACTATTTTTCACTCCTGTTAAGATGGTGTGTACGCAGCGTCCCAAATATGTATTGTTACGTAATGAGGAGGACTCTAATCCTCATTCCGCTGTGACTTTGTTCGCTCATTCGTTTGGGTTGGGTTGGGTTTATACAGTATTATAAATATCAAGAATTAGTCGATGACCACAGGACTAAACTTAATCGAGACCACAACAAGATGGTTGCTGAAAATTCCATCAAATACACTCGGAGTGTAACGTTGATATTATCATTAAATAGTGGTAGATGACTGGAATAACTCACAGGAACAAATAGTATCACTCTCATCAATAAACACTTTCAACATGATGCATGATCGTCATTAGAAAACAAGCTGTAAGGATAAACATAAATCACCCGACCCGCTGTCTTTATTAACAAATACCTGGAGCATCACCGAAACAACAAGAAGCAAAGAAAACAATCAGTTGGTACTAGCTCGTGATATGGATGTATTGGAAAGGTCCGCGTCATATAGATACAGTGTTACGTTTGAAGGTGAGCATTTAGTAGAGAGTTCAGTTCCAACTTCTCGTTTATGTTACTTTTGATGTGAGTATCCTTATCAAAATCCATTCCTCTTGCAAACACTTATTATGAGACTTGATACTCTGTTCTAATAGGGAAACATAGTAAACACCAACCTTAAGATAGCCTAACAAATTGATGATCTGTCCAAATATCACGGCTTCGTGGGAAATTTTCCGGCTAAGTAAGGTAGGAACTCAAAACTTCTCTCATGGTATGTGTTTATTTCCTCATTTTTCAATGTATTTTGAGGAGGTCCCTAAATTAGGGAATTCTTGGTGTCGTCTACAATCAGTCAGTTGCAACGTAGAACTACGTACGTATGTACATAAGTTCCTGTTGCCATACCAAATTAGCACAGAGATTCAGACGTCAAATCAAATCCCATAGTGATAAAGATAGTAGAGGTATTAATGGTAATGAAGAAGACTAGGGTTTGAAAATATTATTCAAGAAGTATAATTCAGTGAGATAAGGTTAGAAAGACAAAGGTAGAGGTGCTGACGAATCCAGAAGATTAGGATTTGAAAGAGCACAACGAATGGATGCATTTGCGCCATAGCAAACGATTTTGAGCCATGTCGTTCAAGGTCTCTAACCATTGGTGACTTTCGTCTCGCGTAGCCCAACAAGGTAGTCTACATCTACCAACATGACTCAGTCCACTAGTCAGTGATTTCATGGATTTCTGCCATGTTTTGGTCTGGCCGTCCCTAGCTTTCTTCCAACCTACTCCTACACCACAAAACATAGCTCGTCGGGGCAGTCGGTGGTTAGGCATACGTAACACATGTCCCAACCACCTCAACTGGTGAAGTTTCACCACTTCATCTATTGATCTGCCATCCTTACCTAGTACTCGTTTCCTAATGATACAATACAGTACTTTCTCACACTATCATTTATTCCGTGAGATCCACATCTGGGTAGTGGGAGATTATTCTTCACTTGATTGCTATGATTTTTGTTACGGTCGTCCCGAAAACTTGACCGTGGGTACTACCTTGATGCGGTAGTCGGGCTTGCCTATCGTGATGACCCAACCGAGCTATATTGGCTGAAACATGTTCCTGTAGTTTCTACCATGCCAGGCAGGTCGGTTAGAGAACGGTAAGACTAAAAGCAGCAACTCAAATTCTGAAGGTGAAGTCCTAATGCTGACTGTGGAGGGGTGTGACAGCAGTAAGATGTTTCCATCACACAGCAAGCATCTGCAGCGATGTTCCGTCTTGCAACTGAAGGAACTGGTTAGGAAAATCACACCTCAAAAATGTCAGTCTCCATGGGTGAGGCAATTCGAAAAGTGATAATACTTCCAAAATACGCCTTGAAAAGGCCGCGTGGGGCCCGCCTCAAAAATTTAACTCTTGGGCTCAGCAGTCATGCTCCCGTGTTGCTAAGATCAACGCTAATCCAAATTCAGTTTCACTAAAAAACATCCTTTCACGGTGTGGGCAGCCGAGAAGTGCCATCCACCCTCATTCCTGTAACAGCATCTGAGATCAAGTTGGTCACAGTCAAGTCCCTATCATTCCTAATTACTCTCATATCTCCCCGATTAACCGTTATTTCATTCCTTTGTCACCTTGCTCCGCTAATACTAACGGTTGGAGTACACGAAATATCATTATTGGTCTCTTGAAACCATGTTATAAACCACCTGTTGAAGCTTTTAATGTCTCGACATTATGCCAAAAGGACGACAGGATTGTCTAGAAAGAACTCTAGAATCTTGTGTCATCGATGTAGGCTGCTTATCCGAAACGTACACACAGAGTTAGAGTATGTTCATTCATTTGAAACCAAGTTTTTTAACATAAAAAGCCATCGCCATTTACGCTTCGTGTCTCTGGAAGCCCCTACTGCTGTAGGTATTACATTGAGTTCAAAAGCATGGCTAGATCTTCTAGACTGGATTGTATTAGACAATCGCTTGTGCGCTGTCCGACTAAACGGGACAGTAATGACTCGAAAAGACAAAAACGATCGCCGTTGCCCCTTTGTCGTCCCTGCTTACGCTTCCACTGATCGCAGCTCAGATAAGGTAAAAGATGAACTTCACAGCAAGCTTTTAAACCTTTATTGCTCAAGTAAGTAAACCAAGCGGAACGGAAAGATATCTGGGTGGATCCTATGACGTCGCGGCTCAAAGAACAGATAATGGTGACCGTTGGCTGCAACTTTTCTCAGATAACCGTCTATTTTTGGGAAATACTAACTTCAAGTATAGGAAAGTCGTCTTTTGACATTGCGACTCCCAAAGTCAATTCAACGCCGAACACAAATAGACCATGTCGCTATCAGCCACCAATGGAGAGGCTTGATAAAAGACTGTCGCTTATTCTGGGGCACATGTTTTTAATCAGATCACGTTCTAGTACGAGCGCATATTTGTTTGGGTCTTAGTGGACGTAAGAATGACACATCCAGAGAAGTCCTTAAGGGTTCTGCTTTACCAAAACAAAGCCAGTAGTATATGTCAGGAACAACTAGAAAAACAGTTAGGTAGCCATGTAAATGATGCACATCCCGACGCAGCTTGAAATGTTATCCAGAAAGCTGTGCAGATAGCAGTGATATCTGCCAGTAAGGTGAACCAATATGTTAATGAGAAACACTGTCGCGAATGCCCAACCACAGGCTACCTCGATGAGCGAGGTTGTCCGATGTAAGTTGGAAGAAATCCAGGGCCAGACAAACCAAAACATGGCACAATTCCATAAAGTCACTGACAATTGGACTGAGCCATATTAGTAAATGTAGATTACGTGGTTGGGGTCCCTGAGACAGTAGAAGCTGATGGTTAGATACCCCGAATAACTTGACTCAAAGTCGTTTGCAACGGCGCAGATGCACCTATTCTTTGCCTTCTCTCAAATTCTAATCTTCTGGATTCCTCATCACCTTTACTTCTTGAATAATATCTTCGAACACTAATCTTCTCCATTACTACTAATACTTCTACTACTATGGGATTTGAATTGACAATTCGATCTCTATGTGCTAATGTGGTAGGCAACTTGAACTGATGAACGAACGCGAAGTTCTACGTTATAGTTGACTGACTGATAAAAGCTTGCGCGTTACGTTAAGGGACTGGTTAGACTATTTACTTAAGGTTAAGTTAAGTAATATGAAAAGCTTAATAAAGCGTTACGATGTCTGCTATTATAAGTACTTCTAGTTTATTGCGAACTGCAAGGAAATATTTCAGTCAATATGTAGCTTACCTTACATAAATGATTCGTTTCATACTAACATATTTTGAAGGTCGTTACCTGAGATCACGGGACGGCGCGATTTGTGATACGTATTAATTACCATCCACAGTTAGACATCAATAGTACTTACAAGAACGGTACAAACTGTATGTACAAGCAATAGGAATACCAGAGAGTTGATTAGTTCCAAGATCCCCAGCACATTGATATGCTTATAATTGATTGATTAATTTACAAAAAATAATGATTCCACTTAAATTCACCATTACACACATGCAATAACTGTAAATATTTTATTTTTTTTCATAATTCAGACATTTTTCATTTCTCTTCAAATGATCTAAACACATGGCTAATTATCCTGTATGGGTACGTACAGTACCATTCATTGGAACAATGGTAGTTTCAGCTTATGCTGTTGCATATACATGGTATTATACTCTTGAAAAAAAACGATTACAATCACATTCACATAATTTAGATGAAGCGTATGTTTTAGAATTTTATAAAAAAATTTCCGAAACTACCGGTAAAACTGAATGGAAGAATAAACGAGTAAAACGTCCATGGGGTGAATGATAAATTAATTAGATGGAAAATTGAAAATGATACACACACACACCAGTAGTAATTTGTATGTTGACAATAGAGACGAAACATTGTTACATAGTTTAATTTTTTTTGTACATGCATGCAGATATATATTTGAAGAATCATACAAATAAGGAAAAAAATATCTATTACATTATATTATTATCTTTTCTAAGCTTAAATCATTGTTATTAATTTACTTCACAAGTTAATAATTTGATAGTTTTCTTTTGACAAGCTAAATGAATTAATTGTATAATTTTTGTAGATAATTCTGTATAAGATGAAGAAGTTTTTAAATTCTCTAATCTGGAAAGAAAAGATTCTACACTAGTTTCAGTGATACGTTCAACACCTTTTAAACTTATATCCGATGTATTATTGGGCAAAGTAACCTAAGAAAAATAATAATAATAATAATTGTTATTATTATAGATTGTGTAAGAAACAAATACAATTTGTATGATTATTATGATGATCAATATAAAATTTAGTTCTCGAAGTTGATGAGCACTTAGATTTCAAACTAGTAATTTTTACAAGTTTAAACCAATTTTTGAAAATTTGGACAATATTCACTAACAGTAGGTTGAAGTTGTGTAGGTCTCGTGTGCATTTACGGATATGAGGGCAGATGTCACTTCCCGACTGCCTACATCGTGGAAGGGTATTTCTTGGGGGACCTGAAAAGGAAGGTAGATAAGTGTTGGTCTTAACGACCTAGGAGCGTGACCGCGGAGCCCAAGGGACAGCTGCTTGAGGATAGTCACGCACGGCCATTTTATGAGAAGTTAGTGTTAGCTCCGCTCTTGTTTAAAAGGCCTTACCGCCGAAGACGGAAATCCATGAGGTAAGGTGAGGTGTGACATTTTTAGGGTCGAGCTTTTCTAACTTCTTCCTTCCTTGTGAGAAGGCAGCATCGCTGCAGATGCTGGTTGTCCAAGGGAAACACCTTACTACTGTCACACCCCTGCATCACAGTCAGCAGTACAACTTCACTTTTAGACCTTGAGTAGCTGCTTTTAGTCTTACCGTTCTCCAATCGACCTGTCTGGCATGGTAGGTCCTACAGGAACATATGTTGCAGCCAATATAGCTCGGTCGGGTCATCACTATAGAGAAGCCCAAAAAACACGTTAAGGTAGCACCTACGGTCGGATGAAGCTTTGTACACAAATCCATATTTGGTTACAATGTTGCAGGATTAATATACTCTTCACTAATGATAATAATAATAATAGCTTGTTTATTTAATATTGTGTCTGCAATGAAAAATATTACAGTTGTTTTCAAAACAGATAAACATTGGTACAAAAGGGTACCTAAGTATATATGAGCTACACAAATTATCGAATTTATGAATGGGTAAGGATACTGCCAGGACGCTCAGACCGAAGCACGTGGTTTTCTTAGGTGACCACTTCCCGAGCCTGTAACGCAGAAGTTTAATCCACAACCGTAGTGGAGCAATGTAGCGGAAGATGCAACCAGTGACCAGCAATAAGATTTGTATGCCATTCGTTTTTTCAGGATACAGATGTGCACAAATGGTTCAGAAGCAGGGTTTTCTAATTCTCTTAGGTGGATCCTCTACACCTACATCTTACTAACAGCCTAGAGCAGTACAATATAATCTCTCTAAAAGAATGAATTCTTATATTCCAGAGCGGATAGACAAAAGATTTCTGTCTGGATTGATTTAACAACAGACTATTTTTTTATAACAATCTAAAGATCCCACAATCGTATTTTCTGATCAACCCAAAATCTGTACAGTTAATTATCATACGGATAGGTCTCAAAAATACTATGCAACACTTAGTGTAGTCCCTTTTTGTAAGTTCACGTAGAACAATGATAATAGTTAAGACAAATCTACACAGAAAGTTACGTGTAAAGGATTCCCTTTAACATTAATGACAGAATGTGAAGTTAAAAGATATTGAAGAGTTTATACTTAGATAAATAATTACAAGACTTAATGTTTTCATTTAGTTTTTCCGTTTTATTAAAGTCAGGAATTAGTATTTGGAGAGATCGGACTAAATGTAAGGTAAGAATCTATTTAAGATCAATCTGAAAAGTATGCTGTACATATTTGCATATTTTAAACAAGAACCACTGTTCGCAGCACTTCGAAATATAAGCAGAATGTATTAAATTGATAAGATGAAGTATGTTAAAGTGAAGAATGAATATAACGTTAGACAATTCAAAGAGAATAATTTGTTTGAATTAGTCAGTGTCGCTTGCTGCTGTTGTAAATGCAAATGAGACAATACCGATGATCTCTGAGACAAATTTCATCATCAGACAAAAGATCTATTAAATATTGCGGAGATACATGACAAATCGCATAGAAAAATCCTATACCCTCCCTACTATGGAAGTATAGTTTGATGTTTTATTGCTCATAATGTTAGTGAACCGATATGGTTGGGGACCTTGAATGACATGGCTGAAAATTGTTTACACTGGCACATATATACCCTTTCTTTTTCTTCGCTCAAATTCTAATCTTCTGAATTCCTCCAGAACGGTGTTTCTCTTTATTCTTTAACTGATTCCTCTGGGATATACTTCTTGAATGATATTTTCGGTCACTCACCTTTTTGATTACCATCAATACTTTTACTACCTCTATTGATGATTCGATCTCTGTGTGCTAATGTGATATAGCAGATTGATTTGATGTACAGAAGTACGTACGAAGTTCTACGTTGTAGCTGACTGACAACATAATGTCAGTAGTGATAATTAAGACGAAATATCATGGAGTGTGATACAGTTGATGCTTTGTTGTTGTTGTTGTCACATTTTTTTTATTCAGACGATGAGCAAGCTACATTGATTTTGATAAATTTTCAAGTTATTAACTTTATTACAGATTGAAATCACCAATCAATCATTGTTAGACCATCATTAGAAACCTGAAAGTAGTGGACGGCCGTTGCATTCTGGTATAAGACTACTACTCATCAGCAGTGCGCATTCAAGACTCCTGCATGCCGCAGGATTTAAACCCAGGACTTATAGTCCTGCGTGTGAATGCCTAACCTCTGAATCACTGGGTCAGCATCCAACGGTGTTAATGTCTAACTCTAATCGTATGGTCTAACAATGACTGATTGATGATTTCAATGTGTAAAAACTCTAATCTTCATAACTCTAATTGCGAATACTAAATTTATTGACAGTTACTGTGTAGTGTAAACACAGAAATAATACGTGACAGAACTTAAGCAATTAAATACATACTCTTCGAAGCATTGCTCGTATATCCTGGGACACCCGAGTGAGCAACGCTGTTATTAGGAATCGGGTGCTAGGTAAGAATGGCAGATCAATAGATGAAGTAGTGACACTTCATCAGTTGAGATGGTTGGGACATGTGTTACGTACGCCTAACCATAAACTGCCCCGACGAGCTTTGTTTTGTAGTGTAGGAGTAGGTTGGAAGAAAGCTAGGGGTGGCCAAACCAAAACATGGCAGAAATCCATGAAGTCACTGACAAGTGGACTCAGCCATGTCGGTAATTGTCGACTACCTGGTTGGGGTCCGCGAGATGATAATAATCGATGGTTAGAGACCTTGAATGACATGGCTCAAAATCGTTCGCAATGGCGCCAGTGCATTTATTCTTTGTGTTCTCTCAAATCCTAATCTTCTGGATTCTTCAACTTTCCAAACTTTTCTCATTGAATCATGCTTCTTGAATAATATCTTCTAATCCTAACCTTTCCGATTACTCCTAATACCTTTACTACCTCTTCTACTATTAGATTTGAATTGACAATTACATCTCTGTGCTAATGTGGTATGGCGACATGAACTGATGTACTTACGTACGAAGTTCTACGTTGCATCTGACTGACTGACTCTGACTGATTAAATATATACATAACATTATACTTGTTTTATAACAGTATGCTTTCGGATTTCATAAACTTCACTGCGAAATTCACTTACATCGCTTAAAGCAACTGTCAACTCTTTACACAGCTGTTTTAATAGATTTTCTTCATTAGTTAACAATTCTTTTGTTGTGTTAATTTGCAATTTTGTCCGATTCTCAGCATTGACAAGATTTTCCACATGTTTACTCAGTAGAGCGGTTTCTTCTTCAAGTTGTGATACCTAAAAAAACAAAGCATAAATGATAAGGATGAATGGAAATAGTTGTTTTTGATTCGTTTACTATGGTATAGTGTTCTACTTATTAAATTCACTTCACTTGTAGATCTTGGAACAATAAGTCACCAAAGAGGAATGCGTTACATACGTAAAATGATGATATCGAAGAAAAATTGAGGGGATACAGGAAGTCCAGAGGTGGATTTACTGTACCTAGTCAGTGAGTCAATTACAACTTAGAACTTCGTACGTACGTACGCACGTACGTACATTAGTTCAGGTTGCCGCACCGCATTAGCACAGAGACGCAACTGTCAGTTCAAATCCAATAGTGATAGCCATAGTAGAAGTGTAATGAACGAGAACACAGGTGGGGCAACCGAATTGCATCTAACGAAAATTACAGAGTTACTCAGTAAAATCGGAAAACCATATCGTAAATCGTTCATTTGCAAAATATCAGTTCATCATATCGAACTGGACTGTTCCTGTTGCAAAACATCAATCCATTGTCACTATTCATGCGTTTCATACAAATTCCATTGTGTTCTAACTCTTCCTTTCTTGATCTTCCCCCATCTTCTCTTCTGCCAGACATTACGTTGACGCTCACGTCATATACTACTTATAAGTAGCTCGCACCACAGAAGTATTAGCAGTAAGAAGATTAGGGTTCGAAGATATGACTCCAGAAGTATAATTCAGGAGGTTAGAATTTGAGCGAACACAATCAATGGATGCACCTGTGCCATTGTAAACGATTTTGAGCCATATCATTCAAGGTCTCCAACCATTGGTGACTCGTCTCGCGTAGCCCAACCAGGTAGCCTACATCTACCAACATGAATCAGTTCACTTTTCTGTGGCTTCATGGATTTCTGCCATGTATTGGTCTGGCTGCCCCTAACTTTCTTCCATCCTACTCCTACACCACAAAACATAGCTCGTCGCGGCAGTCGATGGTTAGCCATATACGTAATACATGTCCCATCCACCTCAACTCTCCCTAATACACATGAATGATTGATATGAAAAAGGTTAAACCAATCAAGGCAATTTGTGAGTCATTAATCACAATGAAATGAAGTACAGATTACATCACTACGCATAATAGTCAGAAGTAAAAGTTGACAGTAGAAGACAGGTGTACTGATAATAGTAATAAAAATAAAGTATGATAACAAAAGTTGTCATCACTCGAAACGCTCCAGCTTTATCTACAATGTGAACACTATCAACCAGATGTGCCAAGATAGAACTGCGTATAGTTTTTAACTGGCCCTTAATAAACCATGCTGGGAGATGTTCACTCATTTGTTGTTAGTACGCCCGATAAAGCTATCTCCACAAGAGCAGCTGAATTTGTAAATGGACATAGAGGAGGCCAACTCAGGTAACTTATCCGTCGTTTGGGTGGACATCGCTGGTTAACTTGAGGTCATCGCAAGTTTGGCTGAGTAGAATGTTTTAATAATTACTTTCGTTAACTTTTGTTATCATATTTTATTTATTCTTAATTACTATCAGTACACCAGTCTTCCTTCTATCAAGTTGTACTTTTCCAACTATTGTGTGTAGAACGACGTAATCTCCTATTTTATTGTGATTATTGACTCGTAATAAATTGCCTTGATTGGTTTAACGTTTTCATATAATTCATACATGTATATTGGAGAGAGTGGAGAGAGAGAGAGTAAAACCTAATGACGATCTAATTGAAAACAATATTGTTCGCTTATTGTGTTGTTCTAATTTTAATTTTTTATGATGGAGATGTTCTACTCGCTTTAGTTCACTATCCTCCACTTATCAAGTAGAGGTTTATGCACTCGGCGCTTAGCTACATTCCTTGTGTGAAAACTAGTAGCTCTACGCTTATGCACAAAATGATGGTGAGGGGATGTGCTAATATCTGAATAATTGATCGAAAATCAAATTATTTATATACTAAGTCACCTCCTAACAAGAAGCATATTATTACCGTGGTGTACACGTGATTTAGCGAAATAATTATAATTCTTTGGTACAAAAGACTTTACAAATATACTACCAATCAATGGTTTCTAAACTAGATGTTATAGACTGATAATGAAAATGACGACCCGTAAATATTGCGGAGAGGGTTATATTGAACTTGCACCAATATTTCTGTGTATTTTTGAATTTCCAGAAACAATCCTTAGTACTTTCTCAAATCAACGATTGTAAACGTTAAATATTATTGGAAGTGGTGGTAACACCTATATGAACAACCAGATAAGCTAGTGGAAATCAGTGATGTGATTAAACTACACTGTTTTTCAAATTAGAGCTTTTATCATGTGCAACTTCCATTCTTGTCAGCATAATTTTCTGTTAGCTTCTGTGATATAAACAATAGGTTTTTGTTAAGTATATTACACTAAGTCTGTGTTCTAAACATCCGGTTTAGGTGTGCTGATCATCAAACAATTATACAACAGCTAACATTAAATACATAAAAAGTATATACACTGGTCTTCCTGGAAGAGCAGCTAGTAAGAAAATGATCAGTTGGTATGTAAATATATCAAGCAGAATATCTGTCGTAGCCAATCAAATGCTATTTTTGCAGTGGCATAGTCGTTAAGGCATTTAGTTTCCTACTACTGGGTTGTACCTTTGAACCACGCTCCATCGACTTTGATTCAGGGAGTCAGTCACATAGCATCACTACAAACATATCAGTTGAAATTGAGCACCTAGACATGTAGTTAGTAAGTGAATTTCCTCGTTAAAACCATTTAAAAACTTTAATTGTATTTTTCTTACATTTTATGCCTTTCAGAAAAGTTAATACTGATTTAGCGCTTGAAGCAATCACCTAGTTTCAGTTAACATAGAATATATATTACCTTGTAGTATAATGGCCTATATTAGACAATCCACAGAGGATGCACATGTGCCAACTAAGACTGATCAGATTTCAATCAAATTATCACAATGGGACAATCCAAATTATAACAAATTAAATTTATGCTTGAGGTATTTGCGCTATACTTAAACAACTTTTATGGAAACCAATAGCTAAATATTTAAATAGAACTAACCTGCTTTTTCAATTGACGCAAGATAACTTCACGTAGTCTATTGTATTCCAAAAATTCATGAGTAAATATTGAAATTTTACAGTCTTCTTCTATATTATTATTATTATTTTTATTATGTGACATTTGTTTTACTGGTCGTTTACAACCAGCTTTAGATCCATTGGTATTGATCATTTCATTGGAAGCTAACCACTTTTTGTAGTTATCAGTAGTTTTGTATTCAGCAAACAATTTTTTATACGACTCACGAGCTTCAGCAGCTTGGTCAGTATATATTTGTTTCTCTTCAGCAGATAAAGCAGCCCATTCAGTAGAAATAATACGATTTCTCTCCGAAAATGGTTTTGAGGCAATATATTCAGATTCCTCTCTACGCTTTTTCATGAACAACATAAATGCTGAAAGAGGTCTTCTTGGAGCATTTTTGTCGTACGGAGTTTTCCGCATAACAATAGTCTAAAAATTGAATGGACAGTAGATTTTCAAAGAAAATGAACAGACTTTAAGATATTAAGAATTTTAATACTTCTCTGTCTATGAGTTAATGGTTGTCTGTCTCCGATTCCGAAGTCACATGTTACCACCGACCTGTAACAGGATTTTTTCGAAGACATTGACAAGTACAAGCATAGAAGATTGAATACCTTAACATAAATGAACGGTTGGTCTTTTATAACATTTAAAAAGTGACAGTTGTACTATATATAATTTGTTTGTACTTCATTTTGACAATTCTGGTTGTTACTTCTGATTCTTAAACTACTCATCTCGGACAATGCAATGTAATCAGTAAAGTTGTAAGTACAATCAAATTAAAGGTTAAATAATCACCCTTTACACTAGTTGATTTTAGTTCACAGAACATCATGTTCTGGTGAAAGTTAAGATCCGGATGTCTTTTTACTGAGGAGTAAACTGTGTCCAAAAAACTTGATTTCAGTTAACTATGAACACTTTCTGAAGACTATTATTATTATTACTATTATCATTATTATTATTAAGTAGGAAGATTAGGATTTTATTGCAAAACTTAAGTAATTAGCGCTGGAATCCACAAAAGCAAGCATAATAATTACTTAGTTTCGTACGACTTAACAAAACTCGTCAATATTCTCTTGGGTTCAAAGGCATGTTCGTAGTTTTCATTGTTGTGTAATTTAATTATTGTATATAAACGCATATGTTTGCAACCGGGGATCGACTGCATATTGTGGGACAGATAAATAATAAGCGTTTTCGCTAAAGGCCAAAAATTAACACACCTCACTGTTTAGGTTCTAAGTAGTCTACGACTGGTTTATTAGCTGTTGATATACTTTTCTGAATTCGCTTTTTAGTTTAACCTGTTTTTTAAATCATCCAAATAGAACACATACAAATTCCAGACCAGGAGGAATTTAACAAACAGGCAAACATCGCTTTGTTCTTCCGAATTCGTTGGTGCTTAGCTACCGATATTTACATAGATTTTCATCAATCGCATTGTTTAGCTGCTTAAAATGAGCAACTTTCCAGTACGATGTATGTTTGATAAGTGCACAAAAATTATGTGTGGATATCGGTGTGTCTGTACAGATACTTGCTATATCTAATTAGTAGTTGGTTTAGGAACATACCTAAGGCACATTAAGTGGATTATTTAAAAATTATTATGACTGAGAAAAAGGACCACTATAATTCATTATTCTGAATTTGTGCCGGCAAATCTATTAGAAAGATATGAGAATGACTAGTTTGGCTTCAGAGCTTGTTATTTACAACAATTATTAAAGGCTTATTAACAAAATGCCATGGGCGGAGTTTTCTAGGACCGAAAAATCATTCCGTTTTGCTACACACATGTCAAGTGTGGTACAATCAGCACGACGAAAAGAAAATAGCAACAACAAAAGTCGACCCCCCAACAAATTATATGATGAAAATTATTTTGAAATCTGTAGAATTTGATGACAAAATAAATATAAAATGATTGTTAAAACTGCCAAAGATATTTCTATATGACTTGAAAAAGTGAACTCTATCCCGATTCCTTAGTAGTTACCCTGACAATTAAAACAGACTGACCTTCAGAGCGCTCGTCCTTTCTTATACAGCGCGGGTTCGAGGTGCAATTCTCAAAAAAATACTTTAGCAATAAGAATAGTAGGTCATTGAATCTGTATTGCTCCTTAAGGTTTTTCATAGTATGTATTTTAGTTCCACCTTATAGTGTCCACTGATAGAGCCGATCACACCCAAGTTAGACGTTCCAGTCACTGACCACTTCATGGCAGCGACCAGTCTGCGGTTTTGCCTTTTTTCAGATGTTCATTGTGATAGATGAGAGGGATGCTTCCATGAACCATTCATAGGCCTTACATTAGTGGATTACAGTAGACTCGGAACATCAGATCACAAGTGGACATGAAGTAAAGGCAATTCGTATGCTGAATAGCATCATCAGTCGTCTCATATATTTGCAGAAGGAACAGACATCTGGATAAGATTCATCCGGTGAGAGATGGGAAAACAAAGGAGAGCAGGTGGGGAGAGAAGGCTGTCTTTATTAGCGTTAGTAGCGCTGAAAAAGCACCAGCTCCAGAAAGAACATGCCGAAACTCAGCACATTATTACATCAACGATGTTTAACCCTCTCGGAAAACTCCTGTCTGGCAGCTTAAAAACTTCAAAAAGAAACTGTCCAAAGAAATCCTGCTGAAGCTGAGTAAAATCACATCAACTTGGCTAGAAAGCGTTCAGGATTGCCATCAAAATCCTTAAAAGTCCAGAACGTGGGTGGAAATCAGTTGATAAACCGGCTGCTCAGTCCAATCCGATGACTGTCCAACTGGTCGGAAAAAGGCATGAAAACCGTGATCGAAATTCTACGATTCGTCAAAAACGACCTCAGTCTCAGTGTACCCGGAAACCATGAATCCGGTCAAGGTTTGTGATAATTTCTCAAACTTCATGAACCGTAAAGATCGTTCAGACATTCCACTCAATTTGAAAGAGAAAATAGACAGAATACTCCGAGGAGAATCGGACAGAAAGCTAAAACTACTTTATGCCTAATTACTCGCAGACACAGTGCTAACCCGAGGCAGAATACAACATATCCAGTACATTCAAGACTCCATCGTGCGCCCGTCACTGCCGTTGCCGATGTGGAGGGTGTCGTACTGTCGAAGCACTCGCATTTGAGACGTCCAGAACGAGTCTCGCAAGACTTTCTTTAGCCAAAGAAGTATACCTGTGCAAAGAATTTCAGAAAATACAGAATCAGCGAATGCAGTCGATGATATTCAAGATTGATAGTTCATAAAGCACTACTTGAAGCTGAAGAATATCAGAACACAAAATGCGGTGAGACTAGCATGGAATAAACATGCATTCCAGACGTCAATTATTGCAGAAAAATTACCCTTCTACGTATCAAATGTCAGCTGTTTATTCTGAGGCATTTCTATCCGGTCGATGCCAGTTGCCAAATAGAATACACATGCGTCCGGATAGGCTATACGATATACATTTATTTTTTTACAATGAATATTACAGCCGTCATTTACACAATCACTTGTTTTGGTTTCAACTGGACAAGGCGCGTATCTCAACTGAATAGACAGTTTTTCCTCAGTCCAACCCTCAGTTTGGATCCTACAGTTATGTCACCTGTCCATTCACAAGAGATTCATTCAGACAAGGGATGAAGACGCTCTTGTTTTTCAAATAAGATGTATTAATGGCTTTTATGCAAACGCTGCGAGCTAAGTGAACAAAATGGACGAGTTGTATGGATAAAGCAATTCTAGCAATACCTGTCTGATTGGAATGGAATACATATGTACCACCTGGAATCACGGACGAGGAGATAGCGACAAGCGGAATGTCTTTGTTTCGTTGAGACAGAAAGTGGTTTTTGATAAGTTCGTCACTTAGTATGCTTGAGGCTATTACGAGTTTACCTTAGTCGATAAACGCGAACGAGACTTTTACTAGCTTCCAGGGAGGCTACCTTGAATCCGAGGCTGAAGTGAAAAGTCTTTGTAAGCGTAGAAAGTATATTCTACAAACACCCAGCAATCACAGTACAATCAAGCATACAACTCTCGTTTATTTATACAACATAAGAACGTCCTTGAGACGGTTAAGAAAATAGCATACTAAAATACACTGTAGCCAATCACAGCCATGGATTTTCCTGGTGGGAATTGAAATCTCAAGGTCATCTGATCAGCCCATGCTGGCAAAACGTGAAAACCAAAATACGGCATTATCAAGCGAATTTTGGGGATCTAACATCCCCAACGGTTTAGGAGGTGTGGTGGCTCTACACACGCGATACTAATTGATCTCACATCAAAGCCTACTCTCAGGCATTAGTAGTGGCACTAAATCTGGATGATATTCGGAGGAAGTGTCTATTCTTCAAGATTTCTGGTCAGAGTCACGTAGCATGAGTACAGCAATCGCATGATAGACGTGTTATCTCATTCTACTGATCTCAGATGCGTCCTTATCCCAGTTTCAGGAGACTTCGGTCTCTCTGAAGTCACATTTACTGACCATACATGCGATACAGGTGGTAATTCCACTGTGGTTCGGTTCTTCAACCCCACTGAAGAGTTGAGTTTATCTGATAATATGGGGTTAGCCACCAGGTGAAGAAACATTCAGACGCCGCCATGCATGAACTGTATCTTCATGAACAAAGAATTCCAGATCGACAACCTCACATCGTCATAGGCTTCAGTTTCATTGGTAAGATTGGGTCGAAACACTGAACTAACAGCAGGCGTCAGAACTTCTGACGGCCTGATGTGTCAGGTTTAAAGTAAAATCAGCAGCAGTGTGGTTTGGACGCTTACTGGGATTTAGAACTGAATAAAATCTTTAGTACTACGAACCAGTCTGCACAGTGAACTGTCAGAATTTATTACAAGCAACCTATAGTCATTGCTAATCGCGTTCTTTAAGAGCTAAAATCTGAAAGGTACTGATGTGTGGAATACGAATGGACTGGTGACGACAGAATATACAGACAGTTTAGAGCAACAGAAAACCAATGTGCGAATATGCTGAGGGAATGTGAGCTCTAATATCAGACCAAACTATTTGACAAACTCATTTTCACTTCAAGGAGTTTATAACGTTACGCGGCCTCATTCCTTGATGCCGAAGCTCGCGTTTCTCGGTTGTTAGGTCCTAATGGCCTGAAAATCAATGATTGAGATGCTGCTTTAGAATCCAATTTGAAGGCTTTGTTTGAGAAAAAACCTCCATGGATATATTTGCAATATGTTCTTACTGACTTCTTCTGTGATACATTTTGGTAAACTGCTTAATCCCATATTGTGATGTTAATAGTTGTTTTTTGTTTTAGTTTCTATTTTTTGTACCCTTATTGTAGTTTCTATGTTTTCTACTGAACAATATTATGCTGTTCAAATTGATACTTGATTATGGCGCCAGACATATCCAATTTGACACTCTGGGCGGTGAACTTTCAATCTGTACTTTAAGGTTGCAATTTTGGACTTATACGCAAGCATTCTTCCAGAATTGGAAACACATTGTGTTAAATTGTGTTAAAGAACAGTGTATTATTGTTCAGGTAATTGTCTGTATTTTTTGATGGATAATAGACCCGTTTCTTACCCAGATAAATTGCTGTTTGCTATCTTGAAACTGGGAAGGACGCGTTTCTAATTTCTTCCACTGTTCTTTTGAATTCAAAACCACTGAAAACCCCTCAGCAGCTGCGGAGCTTCTGACAGAACATTGTCTTTAAAATATTTCATCCGTCGCTCACCACCTTTGTTACTGGAAGCTTCACTCGCAACCCACAAAGAATCTTGGAAATGAAGTTACGTGTTGGTCTTTTTAATTAAACACTGCATCATCTAAACAGCGACACATACTCCGGTTCGCCATGGTTCACTGCGGTATGCTGAAAATAAGAGCTTCAGTTTTGGCCACACCACGTAGCATGATATTATAACGTTAGAACCTTTGCAAACCAGTTTGAGAAATCAAGTTCAAATATTAAGATTTAAAACGAAGTACGTCCATTAGAGTATAGACATTTATTCATGTTAGACAGATAAATTACATACCCTGTAAATACTGCTCAACTGCTGTCGATCACAAGGGACTTAACCTCCCTGCACCAATCTGAGCTCTTTCTTGTTTACTCATCAACAGCTTAATAAATTTTAACTTGAACAACTCATTGACATCCCTTCCCAATGAATTTTTACCACAATTTTTCTTCATTGTTTTTTATTCTCAACAGCCCATCCTTCCTATATCCAAAATTACATATTAACTGACCAATGTCTTTTAACTTAATAATAGTGTCATATGCTACATGGATATTTAGTTCAACATGTGCAAACCGAAGTTGTCCGATTTGCTTGTAATTTGGAGCTGGTAGAGACAGTTTTTTCAGACAAGTTGTGTGAAAAATGAAGCTAAGATTGGAAAGTTTATTAAAGCATACCACAAATTTAAGAGGGCCGAATACCTTAAAAGGAGGCAGGGTGGTGTAACTGACCAGCAGTCATGACGGTGGGACGATAACCTCAATCTACGCAAGTCTGTAGGGCACAAAATTTTGTTTGAATTCGACAGCTAACGATCTGGAATCGTGTAGTTAATCAGTGATATTGATGTTACTTTCCGGTGTCGACTCTGTATATGACTCATTTTTGTAATCCTGCACTGGTTTCCCTATCTACCAAAATGTCTTATCACTAGCAGATTTGGACAATTACGTTGAAAAAGAGCTTACTCCTTGGTTCTTCAGTAACGGTTAAAAAAACTGAAAAAACATAAAACAATTAATCAAATATTACTAATGCATCAAACCACTGAATCTCATTATTTAATTCTGTAAATCAACTTAATTTCTAAAATTTCAGTTATTCTGAGTCTTCGCTAATCTTAAGATTATTTGTCTACTAGCTTTCCTACTAGTCACTTGTCTTCTTAATTCGCATCATATTTCGGGTCAACTTACTAAGTAATGTAGAGTTATACAATCTGTTGAATCCAGAGCAACACCGGTTTCAGAATGAACACTCACGTTTAACTGACTTAACAAGTGAGAGAGTATTAGATAGCAGCTCAAGATAATAGGGCGCATGTCAGCATAATACTTATAGATTTCTGCAAAGCATCTCACGGGACCTCTCACTTGAGGCTTTTACTGAATCTCTGGAGCTCTAGAACGTTAGGTGTAGTACATTAGTGGAAGAAAAACTTCCTTCATGGCCGATGACGGAGAGTGAGATTGAATAAGTCTTAGCCAGAATGTTGAACTTTCAAGAATGGTGCAACACAAGGCGCAATCTCAGGTCCCTTACTGTCTATTATCTACGTCCATGAACTACTGAGACTACTTAGTTATTTGAAAGTTTTTCTGTATACAAAGTCAAACTTTGGAGAACTATAAGTAGTGAGGCTGTTAATCTTAACCTTCAAGCTGACTCAGTTGAATTAGAGAGATATTACAATTGATAAGTAAGACAGTAAGTCATTATTCTAGGAAAAGTGTGCCAATATACACTGGAAACGGCATTAGTTCGCGAAATACAGTCAAAAGCATACCGATACCTTGCGTACAGGAACATAATGACTTAGGAGTGGTAGTAGGTCCTGACTTGCAAATAAATAAACTTAGTAGTACAACGTCTACCAAAGGTTTTCGGGTTTCAGTATCACTCCCCCGAGAATTTAAATGCTTAGATTACCTTATGTACAAACTCACAGATAACTTAAATAAATTGGCCGGAGTCAGGGAAGCCAAGTAGCCTGACTTCTGAAGATCTGAAACAAATAAAACAACAAGAACAAGGCACAGGGAAATAATTCAATCTATACAAGATCGTCAAAATATGTATGAATTGTCCCTGTTGAAATGTTGCTGAGTAACTGAATAACACCAACTTTTCGAAACGCTAAGGTCATCTGTTCGAAGGTCGAGCACATGGATTTCATGGAATGTCATTGTACTTACTCTTTTGCTAGCCTCCTCCTGGAGTTTTAGTGTGGTAAGTTTCTGCAAGCATTTCTAATATATTGACAAGCTGTTACTCGAAAATGAAGAAGTCTTTCATATTGATACACTTCGAATACCACTGACAAATTTTTGTACTTCACTATGTCTTTTATTCCAAAAAGTCAGAATTAGGTACTGCAGTTACCTAGTCAGCGTTTCTATGTGTAATAGATAAATAACCAAAATACATGTATATCCTCAAAAAGCTGAAGACTACATATTGTTAATTGAAACTCATCTTTGCCTTTTTGATACGCTGACGATATGTAAGAGTTAGAAAAGCATTATCACATGGCAATTCAAATTACATTAAGTAGTTTTCATATGCATTGAGATTGTTTGCTTCAAATGAACAGAAAGGTTGATCTCCTGATTCCGAGCCATCCATATTATCTTCCTTCAACTTTCTCATACAGAAACACACCTAAATTATCTAAATCTACATTTCGCCATTTAAAATTTACAAAATTATGAAGTTTGAAATTTGTTCAAACTGCTTTTTTATTTTTAAAAACATTTTCTGGGAGTTCAGAAGTTAACTTTCTTCTCGCATATCTTTTCGGTGTTCCGATGTTACATTAATCTTCACAGTAATCATCCTAACACTTGAATAAAAGAACTCACACGTTACGACTTGTGATTTTAGATTCAAATATGCAACTCCTAGAATCAGTCGGAAATCTTCGACCTCCTCAAATACCTAAAGCAACTAATTTTAGAACATCTGGTTCCGCGAAAAAACTTAAAGCTATCACTTACAAAGATCTACCACCACCTTCTATAAGACTACGTTTAGATGAGGCTATTGAAAATGCGAGGCGTAATCATCAATCCAATGTATTTCCGATTCAGAATCCAAGTATTACAAATACGTCATTGAGAAAATCGAAGAAACCAGTAGCTGTCAATGGTGGCGATGAAGATAACTCAAACGCCTCAGAAGTAACTCAAATGTCTCAGTAAGTCTCACATGTGCATAAATCCTGTTTCTTAATGTGTGTATACCTCCTATTTTAATCCATGTCTTTGGCTATCACGTGGGATGAACCAAATAGTAAGTAGAAAGAAGTGCCAACCGAATGTATCTTGGTGGTCACAAAATGATTAACCATATTAATGAACTAGTTATTTAACGACACACTTGGTAGAGGAATATGTTTTGTATTTTTGTTGTATTCGAGGGTTAGCTGACTGATTGTGGTGAGGTTTCGTTCTCTGAGCTGGCGCAACCTGAAAATCCAACTCAGAGAACGAAACTCCACCACAACCATTCACATAAGTTACAAATTTTCTCTTCTATCTGGCAACTGAATTTATCTGAATTCCAATGGATGTTAGCTAGTAGGATAAGAATCACACTTATCACCCATCAAATGCCTGCCATAACTTCGGTAGCCTTAGATCTTGTTCATGACTGGCGAAGTAGTGACACGGGAGAAGCAACATACAAGTGTGTCAGGAAAATCGGAATATGTAACTCTTCAAACTCTCGCGCAGTCACCTGCAAACCATGTACATGTACCTAGTTATTGGTTAATTTATACCAATTACTGTTCAGTTAAATATAGCCGAATTTTATGTTGACTTAATTACTGAATAATGTACAATTAGGTGTATTTGGATCTCGAACCCATTGTATGTTATTATTTATTTTTAGAAAATCTCTCATATCTGAATTTTCACTGATAACTTGACTACAAATAAAATAAACCAGTGAGCATGTGCGTTTAAGGCTTTTTTGAAAGTAGATTCCTGAATTTGATGCTATGAATGTACAATTTTCGGGATTTAAATGTGTCATAAATGAGATGGCTACTCGCCAGTAATATCAGTGAGTGACTGTAATGTACTAACATTGCTGGATTTCTACCGCAGAGTTTCTGTCTATAAACCAAGAGAGTACTATCAAAAAGAAAGTGCTTGATTTAATCAGTTACAGAAACATATGGAGTAACTCCAGAAAGTTGTCATTTTTAGAAATCTTTACTTGCTTACATATTTCACTCCCCATAAAGCATAGACAACCGATCATCATTCTCTAACTAACTCTGTCCTAGGTGTTCCTTTCCATTTCTTTCTGATTGTTATTTATTCTTTCCATGTGCGTATCCAATTCTCGGCGTGATATATCTTTTGGTCTTCCTCTTTCCATTAAGCTTGAGGACTCCAAAATAGAGCTTCCCTTGTGATGCAGTCGGGAGACTATATCAAGGTGTATCCCATCCAACTCCGAAGCATTTTGCTAATTTCTTTCCCAGTTGGAATCTGTGTTGTTCTCTCGAGAAATTACGGAACACAAACACTGATTAATCTTTGATTTTTGTTCACTAATGCCATCTTTTCCTTTATTCTACAATATTCCTATCTATAAACTCCGAGAAAATCTGGGGAAAGTTAGATTTCTGATTGCAAGAATGTGTAAACACTACATAATTGAGGACAAACACTTAGTTACCTAAATGCTAATATGCACTTATACAACAATTACTTAAATCAACACTATTGTTATCTTTATCAGACACTTCAGTCTATCATCCAGATATATATAATAAACAAGGATTTTCGCCCTAGCGTTATGTGGTCTATGTTCTGGTGGCCAGAGATCTGATTCCAATTCGGACCGACTAATGAATAAGACATATACATAAATCTTTTGCTTAACTCTGGATATTGCACTTAGGTCAACCCTGTGTTTAGCGACGGCGATAGTAAGAGATCAAACATGAATTAATTCGCATGCATTTATTTCATACACTTCTTATGTAGACAAACATTAAAATAGAGATTGGGAATGAGAAGCGAAGCTGAGTAGGCAAGCTTACTAGCCCCTTTTGATAAAATGTGACTCATTATTGAAAGTCGGACAGACCAAAACATGGAAGAAATCCATGAAGTCACTGACTAGTGGACTGAGTCATGTTGGTAGATGTAGACTACCTGGTTGGGGTCTGCGAGACGAAAATCATCAATGGTTAGAGACCTTGAATGACATGGCTCAAAATCGTTTGCAATGGCGCAGGTGCATCCACTCTTTGAGCTCTCTCAAATCCTAATCTTCTGGATTCGTCAGCACCTCTACCTTTGTCTTTGTAACCTTATCTCGCTGAATTATATTTCTTGAATAATATCTTCGAACCCTAGTCTTCTTTATTACCATTAATACCTCTACTATCTTTATCACTATAGGATTTGATTTGACATCTGAATCTCTGTGCTAATTTGGTATGGCAACATGAACTTATGTATATACGTACGAAGTTCTACGTTGCAACTGACTGAAAACCACATCACCAACATAAATTTAAAAAAAATATCAAAAATGTAGTATCAGTGGTAAGAAAAACTTAAGAATAAGAATATCATTAGGAAAGATGAAGTGGAGATATGTGTTTGAAAGAATACTAGAGCTGGAAACTGATGAGAAGATGAAGAGAAAGAGAGAATAAATTTTGGCTAGTTTGAACAATTCTAATTCATGTTGCTTAATGCCTACAACCACTAATCATGGTTATTGTAGACACTTCAACTAAATGGTCAGAATCTACCTTTGTAAGTCAATCTAGTTGTCAGTGATTTTGTGGAATAATATAAATTATCTTTCAGTCATCCTTACCTTTAGTTTAACCAACTTCTGAATTATGAAACATCACCGATTTGATGCAAATGTTGTTTTGGCATTTGTACCGCGTATCTTAACCATCTCAGTCGGCAACAAGTTGATCCTTTCACTAAATGACTTGGCATCTTTGTCTAGTACACTATATATAAATGACCCTGATATTGATTTTTCGGACATTTCTTGACACACAAGTGATTTTCTCGAAGGTATTTAATTCAAATTAAAGTCTAGCGATATAAGATTTATTAAAATAATTACCTGTTTATTTTATATTACAGAATACTACGTCCTAATTTAACCAAATCAATTGTACTTCCTAAACCCAGTATATCTTTACGAGGTGAAGAAAGTTTGGAAAATTGTATACGTGGTTATGGTAGTCAATGGTTTAAACAAATCAGTAAAGAAGAATCTTTCATTGAAAGTCAAAAAGATGTACATATTCGTTGCCCACGAGGAGAGGTTTGTTTATTTTTTTTATAGTTTAAAAGAGTTATTGTTTTTGAAGATAAGCCTAATTTCGAAATTCAATTACATACAGCATGATCAAGTTTTTTTTTAACAAAACGATCAGGGTTTTATATTGTGCATTAATGAATGCTATCAGGACAACTTTGTTGACTGTAATAGAGAAAATTTTTTTCTGGTTAGCGTTTTTTGGCAAGTGAGATTTCAACGGAATGGGGTTGCCAACCCCATGTCCAACCCTCCTCCTTTATCCGGGCTTGGGACCGGCAGTAGCCCCTAAGGTTCAATACAAATGTCAAGACAGTTCTACTGTATGGAGCCGAAACATGGAGAACTACCAAAGCCATCATCCAGAAGATACAAGTATTTATTAACAGTTGTCTACGCAAAATACTTCGTATTCGTTCGCCAGACACCATCAGCAACAACGAACTGTGGGAGAGAACAAACCAAATTCCAGTGGAGGAGGAAATCAGGAAGAAGCGGTGGAGTTGGTGGATAGGACACACACTACGAAAAGCACCTAACTGCATCACGAGACAAGCCCTCACATGGAACCCTCAAGGCAAAAGGAAAAGAGGAAGGCCAAGGAACACTTTACGCCGAGAAATAGAGAAAGATATGAGAGGAATGAACAAAAATTGGACAGAATTGGAGAGAGAAGCCCAGGACAGAGTTGGTTGGAGAAAACTGGTGAGCGGTCTATGCTCGATTGGGGGCAACAGGCGTAAGTAAGTAAGTAAGTAATAGAGAAAATAATAAATGAAACTTCTTAATTTACTGTTGGCAATAGACGCAAACTACCTGGTCAAGGACTGAAATGTAACTGTGACCGCTAGTTGTAGACATTGGTCAATTATTATCTTTTGTGAACTTCTTATCATTTGCGTGTAAATATAATGATGAGTACATGCTAGAAGCATCATGAGTTTTCGTGGTGAATTAATATTTATCCACTTTTTAAATCATATGATGATGAAGTTCATCGCCTACTTCGGAAGGTCATTTAAAATCGGCCCCAATTCGTTCTGTACACAGTGTTTTTTTCAAAATTCGTCATTGTATTTTTGTTGTAAGTATTTATACAATATACTCGAGATCTGCAGTTCACTGTTTTGAAGATTGTAAAGCTCATCAAAATTATGATCATGGTCCCCAAACACCCCTGTAATGAATGAGAACACAGGTGGGGCAACCGAATTGTATGTAGCGAAATAACAGAGTTAGTCAGTAAAATTGGAAAACCATATCGTAAATCGTTTTAATTTGCAAAATATCAGTTCATCATATCGAACTGGACTGTTCCTGCTGCAAAACATCAATCCATTGTCACTATTCATGCGTTTCATACAAATTCCATTGTGTTCTAACTCTTCCTTTCTTGATCTTCCCCCATCTTCGGCTATCAGACATTACGTTGACGCTCACGTCATATACTACTTATAAGTAGCTCACACCACACCCCTACACTTTGGGATTACGTACGTGGTGTCACCACTGGATGTGAGAAATTCTTTAGAGTCAACCGTGTTAGTATATTTCAGCTGAATATAGCTGAATAACATATGAATTAAAGAGATCAAATTATAGTCAAATAGTAAAATTCATTAAAACTTATTTTTCATACCAGTTAGATCCGGTTTAAGCTCTAGACGTTACAGAACAGTTGATAACTGAATCTTATTTGCTAATTTCTAACCTTGATTTTCACTGCCGTTTAAGTATATACTTATCTTTAGTCTTTACCAATGAAGATTTAAGACCAAGTGACAGATGCAATTTCTCTCTGTAACTCAGTCAGTTAAATGAACTGATAATATGTGTTGTGGAAACAAAATTCAGAAGGTTATGTTTATTTAAACGAGATTTGACACTCCGATTCGAATGAACGTTTAATTATGCTGATCAAATAAATCTTCCCTTTAATTTCTGTATACTACCTGTTAGAAGAAGAACAGTGTTTTTGCGAGAAGACTTATACGATCTTATATGAATGGCTTTATATTATACATTCGGTTTGCAGACAGACATAATTATGAGAAGTGTAAAGGTGAAGTGAAGCAAAGCGAAAACCGAGTGGACCAGCATGACTAAATATTTAAAGTCGGACAAAAACAAGCTAGGCAAATGGTGAACGAGGTGCACGCATGCTTAAACCAAAACATCCAGAGTTATAGGTGAATAATTTGCAAGATCGGAATATGAGTAAATAATAACTTGAGAAGAGTGTATTGATCAGTTTGTCCAAAAAACTAGGTGGAGGGTCATATGGGCTCAGCATATTAGTTAGTACACACTACACATGACTCGGTTTGCGACGTAAAAGTCCAAACTTACACACTATTGGATATTAAATTTTGCACTTTCTCAATGTCTTCTTAGGTGATCAGTCATAGTTTCAAGAAAGATATAAAACATACTATTACCGAAACTATTGTCCAGAATAAAGTTAACAGTAGACCACCTTTTAAGCTACCAAAGAAGTAAAATTAAACTTATAACAAGCTCTCTACTCGAACACTACTGGCCGAGTCTAAGCTTACGGCAAACTGTTAGCGGAACTGGTTACTTCGAGTGGCGTTCGTTAGGTTTATCCGCCTTCTTCATTCATATTCAACTTTGTCGTTGACATGTAGAATATGCTGATGACATAGTCTTATTCGGTGAAGACACTGAAAAAATGCAGTCTTCTGACCACCCTAAGTAACAATTCAAGCATGTTCGGGATGTGGTTTTCCTCCTCGAAATTCAAAATTTCGACTTGGGATTGGCTTACATTGGCACCTGAACTAGTGATAGGGAGTGAAATAGTTGAGCGTTTTGACAATCTCACTTATCTTGTAATTGTCATCAGTGCTGATGGCCTGGTGACTGATGAAATCTCAGTACGGATACAGAAGGCTCGACTGGATTTTATCGATTTGCGTCACTTACGCAGTAGGCGAGATATCCATCTGTTAATCAAAGGATGAGTTTACTACACTGCATTTTACCCGGCTTGCTATACGGGTGCGACACATAGCCAATCAGCCTTCATACAACTAATGAGAAAGATTGTTTATCATTTCAGTCATTTATATATTTAGAACAACTCGACTCTTCAGTCCCAGATTCTAAATACTGTCTGGTATTTGTCGAGTTTGCCCTCATTCATATTCCGAAATAGTTCACAAATTCCAGAAACGATCAAAAATCTATTGACAGCATTCGTTTTAAAGTCACTTCCTTCCTTTCTTCCTTATCCTTATGCCTGCCACTCCAAATGGAGAATAGGCCGCCGACCAGTGTTCTTCAATGTAGTCGGTTGTCACTTGCTGTTCTAAAATCTTCACCTACTTTGACTCCCAAAAATGCTCAGTGACCGTCATGATATTCTCTTTCTGCTACGCAACTATTTGTATTCCTGGTATATTTCCCTGAATTTATTGTCAATAGTTGAGTCGCATTTTCTTGAAAGAAGAACCTAGTTAGTATTCATATTTTCCATTCATTATTAATTCTTTATTGTAAATCAAACATAAGCATGATCTTGCCATTTCAAGTTCTTAGTTTCTCATCATTTCAAGTGAATTTCAGTTGAGTAAGCAAGAATGATTCAATAGTTTGTTTCACAGTGGTTTGAGTCTTAGCCATAATCAGATTAAAATCATATTGTAATCATGAATAAATCTTATTTAGATCATCATTAGAAGCCTGAAAGCACTAGATGGCCGTTTTGTCGTAGTTGTGACCAATGGAGTTCGACTCAGTCGAGTGTAGGCAGTTAACTACCGAACACAATGTGTGAGGTTGTTGAATACTTTAGATTGATCCAAGTTAGACATTAACACCGTCTAATGCCGACTAAGTGATCCAAAGATTAAGCGCTAGTGCACGAGACTGAGAGTCCATGCTCGGATTCCCGCAATAGGAGATCGCGGATGCACGTTATTGATATGTGGTACCATACTAAAACAAAAAGGGTCGTCCAATACTTGTAGATTTCTAGTGGTGTTACAGCAATGACTGATACGTGATTTTCATGAAAAGTAACAGTCAACATAACTGTAGAATGAATACAATTATATTGTTTCAATCAGACAGCTGATAAAATGACTTAAAACGACTTGTTTTTTGGTGAAAATTCTTATCAGACCAGCTGAAAAATAATGTTTCCACACTCCTAATTATAATCTGACTTATCAAACATGAAATACACTCAATCATTTATTCATTCCAACCAGATTTTGTGCCATGAATTGGTGTAAAGTACACAAATAATTTACGTTTCCGGACTGTTTTATCCGGAAGAAGATTAGAGAAACTATAACCTGACTTGATGCATTAACCCGTAGTGGTATGCTTTTACGGGACACGTGTTGTGTATGCCTAACCAGCGACTCCCTCGTCGAGCTTTGTTTTGTAGTGTAGGAATAGGTTGGAAGAAAGCTAGGGGCGGCCAGACCAAAACATGGCAGAATTCCATGAAGTCATTGACGAGTGGACTGAGCCATGTCGGTAACTGTCGACTACCTGGTTGGGGTCCGCGAGATGATAATAATCGATGGCTAGAGACCTTGAATGACATGGCTCAAAATCGTTCGCAATGGCGCCGGTGCATTTATTCTTTGTGTTCTCTCATATCCTAATCTTCTGAATTCTTCAACACCTCTAGTTTTGACTTTCTAAACTTTTCTCACTGAATCATACTTCTTGAATAACATCTTCTAATCCTAACCTCTCCGATTACCTCCAATACCTTTACTACCTCTTCTACTACTATTGGATTTGAATTGACGATTATATCTCTGTGCTGATGTAGTATGGAGACATGAACTGATGTACTTACGTACGAAGTTCTACGTTGCAACTGACTGACTGACTGACTGGTATGCTTTTACAAAGAGAACACAATTACTTGAAATGGAAACACTTATTATTGTAAACAATTATAACCACAACTGGTTTATTGTACTCCTTTTTGTTTAACTGTACTAAAGACCATAATTCGCGCGTCAAGCGTGTTACTCCTATTGCTCGTTTCTCCTTGGTGGTTGTTAGCTGCTGCTTTATTCCAGTCTTGATATCATTCATTTCGATAGTACGAGACCACGAATCACAATACACCTTGTCATTCAGTCACAGTCTTCCTTTTGATTACTGGATTTAACGGGATTTTACTTGATGATCTCGCGATAAGTAGTTACAATCTCACCACAAACTAATTTTGTATGATTTTCTATTCGTAATCGTTCGTCGATCGACCGTTCACAGAGCCTCTTTTTATTCAAGGTCACTTTTGACTCACTCACTCATGTTTAATTTTTTATTTCCTTAATTCTGTTGTGTGATGTGGTCTGGTAGTCTTCTTTGTTAATCTATGTCTACTTAAATAAAACAGAATAAAAATTTTGTGGAGACTGTCTAAGAATGGAGAGAAGCTATCGAGTTGTGGATCAGTAAAGATTTACAGTTCATTCAAGGTTAATGGTGTAAAAAGCATGATTCTGATTGGTGTTTTTGGATTTGTCACATGATATTAGATACAAATTGCCTAGTTAAATACATCTCATGAACCGACTTAAAGCGAGTCTTTTCCAACAATTGATCTATTCCTAAGGTGTTGCCATGACAATGATAATTCATTGTTTTAAAATGTAAATAAAAGGAAGTAAAATTTTATAATTATTTGAAAATATGAAAAAGTGACTATGTCCTTGACACTTCTTGAATTGTTTTCAAATTACCAATTAGAAAGTTTTAATTATATGTTTTTAACTAAACAATTTTTGCATTGTAGAGATTGTTGAGTTATTTTTTGAAATCATGAATCAATCAACGTTAGACTATTATTAGAAACCTGAAACTAATGAAAGGCGGCCGTTTCGTCCTAGTGTGGTACTCAGCGACATTGCACTCAGTGGTCTGGAGGTTTGACATTCGCGTGCAAGTCCAAAGGCCTCGGGTTTGAACCCTGCGATTCGATGAAGTCGTGGATAAAAAACTTCAAAATGCTAAGCAAACAATTTTGAGACGAAAGCAATACATTACTTAATGAATTCATTGTATTCACACAAAAAATAAGCATTGTTATTCTTATTATTTCAGTCTCTCGTGTGGTTAAGGGTATGAGGGCCGATATCACTTTCCGGCCTCCCACACAGTGAAAGGGTGTTTCTTGAGGAACTTGAAAAAGAAGGTAGATTAGTGTTAGTCTTAGAGACCTGGGAGCATGATCGCAGAGCCCAAGGGACAGTTATTTAAGGCCGGTCGCACATGGACTTTTTATGAGATGCTTTCGAAGTGTAAGCTCCGCTCTTGTTTAAAAGGCTTTACCGCCGGAGACGGAGATCCTTGAGGTAAGGTGAGGTGTGACATTTTTAGAGTCGACCCTTTCTAACTCCTTCCTTCCTTGTGAGAAGGCAGCATCACTGCAGATGCTGGTTATCCGAAGGAAACACCTTACTGCTGTCACACCCCTCCACAGTCAGCAGTACGACTTCGCCATGAGACATTGAGCAGCAGCTTTTAGTCACACCGTTCTCAAATCGATCTGCCTGGCATGGTCGGACCTACAGGAACATATGTTCCAGCCAATATAGCTCGGTTGGGTCATCACGATAGGCAAGCCCGACCACCACGTCAAGGTAGCAGCTACGGTCAGGTCTTGTTTTGTAGATAAAGTATTTAACGGACATCCAAAAAACTGAATTTATATACCGAAACTATCAGTTTAATTATAAGTAATCGACTTGACCGTGTCAAATATGAACAAAAATGTATGATAGAGTTTTGTTCTCTGAGCTGGGCGGTGTGATCGTGAAGCTTTCATTGTTTTTTTCTTCTAAACAACATCATCAGCACAGACTTCAGGTAGAAGTGAAGTATTCGAATTTCCTTATCCTCTCGACCTCGATCTTGATTGATTGTTATCGATTCTTAACCTATCAGTCCAAGGTATTACACAATCTCACTGAATACCTTCGGTAAGTAACTGTCTACATCCGACAGGGATAAAGTCAACTGGTCACGACTTTTCACTGAAACCAATGAAAAGTAAAGTACAAACTTAGTAATCTTCATAGATTTCCTGTAGATAATCATCAACTGTATCATTTTTCATTAGCTGTTCACTGTTGATTGTTGTAAAAGTAAGTTAGATGACCAAACGAAGAAATGATGTCACTCAAGTCCATTTATGCAGTAAGTGTTCGATTGAGTTATATTGGTAGGTATAAACCTATTTGGTTGAAGTTCAACTGATCAGTGTAATCAGTAGTTGATTGATTCATATATTTTGCAGGTTCTGAATTAATTTTCACTGATTAAATATGCTAAAGGTGTACAGCTGATTTAAAAAAAAAACAACTCCAGAAGTTAAATAATTGATCAAAGTTTGACATTAACATTGTGGAATGCCGGCTCAGTTGTCCAAAGGTTAAGCGATTGCACGTAACACCTAAGATGCTGGATTTGATTCCTGTGGATAGCGGTAGTTGTGGATGCACACAGTTGATCAGGCCCATAATACCAAGAAGAAACGGCCGTTTAGTGCTTCCAGGTTTCTAAGGGTTGTCTAACAATGATCAAGATTGCAGAAATTATTAAAATTTCAATATATATTTATTTGTTTAAATGTACATATTTATTCATTTTTATTCATTTTAAGGCACTAGATAATTTACATAAAGGACAAAAAGGTATTGGTGTAAGTATTCTACTTGATTCAAAACAAAATAATACACCAATTGTTGAATTACAAAATCCAATACGTTCACTTCCATCAAATGAAGCTTATACAAATTGGCAACGTGATCGACTCAAAGAAGCTGGTTCAATGGAACAAATTTTAAATCAAGGATGGTCAGGGTAAATTGTCTTTTATTGGTGACAAGATTTTTTGAAAATTTATATACTACACTGTGTTTATCAATCGTATGACCATTGAAGTATAGACTACACTCAATATCGATCTAATCTTAGTCACAGACACTTCAGTAGCATTCATGCCCACGATCTTTGATAGAGGTGAATTTAAAAATCTTTGGATTCATGATAAAGCTGAATCTTCACTAACTGATTTACGTGTCTCATTTTCATCAGTCCGTAAAATTCAAGAATGTCAGTTGAATGATTGATACAAGGATTGATTAGTATCGCTACATGGTTTCATTATTTATTGTCAGGATCGATCAATCAATAAGAAAATGTGTGGCAGTGGTTAGCTACATTTGTAACTGTAAACTGTTAAAGATTTAGTTTTGCAGGTTTCAAGTTTTTGAATGTCTTTAAAGATTGCTGAACTTGAAGATGCAGTCCAAAACACTTGAAAAAGAACAATTATGGTGGTTGTGTGTACTGTTTACAACGAGGCTTAAAATGAGTATGCAGTGGTTTATTCAGCAGAGTGTAACCTTGAAGTTACAGGCCAACCGAAGAGTGTGTTGTATCCGGCTTTGTGACTCTAGTGGATTGTCTTGAAGAAAGGAAGACAAAAGGAAGAGGATAGATAGCTTGTTTAAAAATGAATGTTTTACAGATTATATAACCAAAGTTTTCCCAACTCCGGTCTGCCCCTCATTTGTATCATGTGTTTTCGTTGATGAATTGATCAAATCCACTTCAAATCCAGTTTCAAAAAGACAGTTTTAAGAAATGTCTACTAACAGTGATTAAAAAAGTAGTATAGTACAGTGAAGCTCGAATTAAGTAATTAAATAGTAAGTAACCTAACTGAGCATAAGTTGATAATAATTAAAAGGAAATACGTTATGAAGTAAAAACGATTTTAAAAAAATGTTCTTTTCAGACTAAAATGATAATCCAGATTTAAAGTAATTAATATTTTTAGTCTCCTTGAAACATTTGACCTACTTACTAGTTGTTCTATGTAACCGTTCAATGTTCAATGATTTGACTACTTAATGACTTGATTTTATTGAAGTTTAAGCTAACTAAACTACTATACACTTAGTTAGTAGTATCATATCAATTAACAAATTCAGAGAGAGTGTAGTGATGTGTACGAACTTATCCGTTTATCACCGGAATATATTCTAAGTTGTATAGTGATTTTATTAGTCTATAGATTATTCTATCGATGTTATCACGATGAATGAGGGATGAATAAACATTGATTTCCAGTTGCTCGTGAGTAGACTCCTTTAATTAAGCACGTTCAAGTACGTTATGAAAAAAAATCTCCCCTTGAGTGTTTCCATATTTCATACTTAGGCAGACGACGGTTGTGCTACGGTGGTAATTAGAAACCGAGAATGGATTCAGTTGAATTGGTTTATTTCATGCAATCATTTATGCAGACAGACATGAGAACGAAAGTTCACAAGCGGAGCGAAGCGAACGGGAGCCAACTCAATATCATCTTCAACCTTCATCACTTATGTATAAGGCATTCCTTTTCAACTGTTTATAGAAAAGTTTATTGACAGAAGACCACATTGTGTTTACAGAATCGAAATACTCATATATGTTATTGAGTTTTGGAATAGTTCATATTATATATGAATATATATTTACATACACTTATGATGTAAGTGTATTGTATCGTCAGGTGCCACGTTCAGCCTGCAGCCATTCTAGGTTTACTGCCGGTCCCAATCCCTGTTCAAGGAGTAGGGTTGGGCATGATGTTAGCTACCCCATCCCATAGAAATCCAACTGGCTAAAAAAACGCTAACCAGAAAAATAATCCGCTGGTCGGCGGCCTATGATCTGTTAGGGGCAACAGGCATAATTAAGTAAGTAATTGTGAGATTCACAAATCAATCAAACTGTAAAAATCTAGCTAATTCTTCATTGGAAGTAGATAACGGCTGTGTAAAGTCATCTCTTGTCAAATAATGAATAATAATGTATAAAAAGCATGTAGGTATACAATTGACATGAATAACTTTCGTCCGATCAATGATTTAGACAGTCAGAAGCAGATGGCTGATCCAGGAAATGCTTTTTGTTGTTGAATATTTTGTAAAATAACAGAATTGTCAAGTCATGAATCAACTATGGTTAGACCACTACTAGAAATTTGGATGCACTGGACTGCCGTTTTGTTATGTTATGGGACTTCTCATCGGCAGTGCGCATCCAAGACTCCTTTAACTCACGAGATTGGAACCCATGACCTTCGGCCTCGCGCGCGAACGCCTAAACTATGGACCACTGAGCCGGAATCCATCGGTATTAAGGGATTTCGCTCAACCTCATCCACTGCCTTCGGTGAACACTACTTTACACCCAAACAGTGTTGAACTCCACTGATCACGACTCATCAAAGCACTGCTGATGAGTCCCACAACATTTCGAAACCGCAGTCCGATACTTCCAATTTTCTTTTGGTAGTCTAACATTGATCAGTTAGTGAGTTCAAAAAGTAACTCAACAATCTCCACAACTGTCTCATGAGAATTGTAAAAATTTTTACTCATTTATTTTAGGAAAAGTGGTTTTACAAATAAACCGAATGAAATACAAATTTCTCATAAATCATTACATCAATTCACTGATGACAATGATGTGACTGATCATTCAGGTGCACAAATGGCTGAAATTTTAGGTAGGAAACTTCTTTCTAATTCGCAATCAAATGATGCCAACATGAAAATTGCTCCCCGACGTATTCACCAATCAGCAGCAGCAAATGCTGCACGTGAAGGAGCTGCATTAGCTGAAAGATTTGGTTTAATTGCTCCGAAACAATCTTATCATGGAGTGGATATGGACAGGATTGATGAAGCAATATCAGAAGCTACAGTTTCTTTGGATATGCAACACTGTGGAAATGGACCTCGTGCTAAATTTGAGGTATGCATTTGATGAAACTGTTAGGAATTTCGATATGTGTGAATATTTATCTATTCAGGTTTCTTCTGAGCACGAATTCTTCTTTTTGCAGTTTGTTAATAAAATTAAGACATAAATTATTAGCTAGTATTGGGCAACAAAAACTCCATCAGTAACCTCTCTAGGGTTACTACCATTCCCATTCCTAGATTACGGAGGAGGTGACCTGATCCCGTAAAAGATCGACGTGCTAAGAAACTGTAACCAGAAAAAGTAATTCAAACCACTTAAACTCTGCTATGAGTCGGAAGGTCTTCATTTAAAAGAATCTGATGTCCCTTTAGACAATCAGAGCAACTATTAATATAGTTACATGGAATGTTTTCACATTGTGGGAGACCGTATGAGCCATTGGCGTCGCTTTAGAAATGAAAAGATGGAACCTAGAGATGCTTAGAATCAGTGAAACACATTGAACGCAGGTTAGGCAACAAAAACTCGCTTTGGGAGAGTTACTTTTATACTCCGGCCACTAAGGGGAAAATGCTGCACATACACAAGTAGTGTACAAGAAGCACTTTTCAGATGTAAATCTCAATTATTCAGGATCATCAAAGCATCCTTTAAAACAGAGAAGGAATGCGATATAATGAACGTCACCCAGTGCAATAAACCTACCTACGACTACGATGAAGATGTTAAAGATCAATTCTACGAGAGGTTGCAGTCAATCATCAAGAGATGCTTATTCAGGGATTTGACGATTCTTATGGGAGACCTGAATGCAAAAGTTGGCATGGACAACACTGGATATGAAGACATCATGGGACGACATGAACTGGTAAAAAGGAATGAAAACGGTGAAAGATTTGCAAACCTATGTGCCTTCAACAAACTGGTCATAGGAGACACCATATTTCTGCAAAAAGGCATACACAAGGCTACATTTATTTCACCGAGTCACACTGCTCAGAACCAAATTGACCATATATGTATCAATAAAAAGTTCAGAAGGACCACGGAGGACGTGAGAACCAAGTGAATAGCTGATATAAACTCAGATCCTCACTTGATGATCTGCAAGATAAAACTGAAACTCAAAAATCACTGGACAGTGGGGTGGACAATATCACAGAAGTTTTAATACGGTTCTTTTTGGAATATTGATAAACTAAACTAATCCAGGTCAACCTTCAATAATAAATTCCGTGCCTTTCACCATCTATTCGGTTGTATACAAACTACGTAGGAAAACAGTTGAAACGGGATCGAACAGGTAATCACTTTAAAATATGGTTTGGTTTTGGGACAGAATGCATATGATCACAAAGAATGGATCCCTATTCTAAGACTGAAGAAGGCAGCAATCAATATTAGCTGAACTAGAGCAGTAAAAGTCAAGGCAAGAGCTGAATACACAGAAGCAAACGAGCACGTGAATAGGAGCATCAGAGCCGACATACGAAAGTATGTGGGAGATCTAGCAATGACGGTGGAAAAGGCTTCAAGAGAAAGAAACTCGAGACAACTGTACGATTCAAAAAAGAAGCTCGCTGGAAACTATCGTAAAACAGAACAAACAGTGAAAATCAATGCAGGGAAAGTAATCAGTGACACTGAAGAGCAGCGAAACAGGCAGGTAGAGAGCACTTGAAGGAACACTTGAATCGACCAGCCCCATTGAACCCCGCCCAACATCAAAGCAGCATCCACGGACCTCTCAACTGATGATGACCACTAACAATTGAAGAGATCAGTATGATCGTCAGAAAAGTCAAGAGCTTCAAAGAAGATGCAGGAGACAACATATCAGCTGAGGCATTGAAAGTAGACAGAAAAAGAACTAAACAAATCGCAAAACAACGGATCATTGAGCAATCAAATGTATGGAACTCATTGATTTTACACTAACTTCCATGACAACGAGAAAGCATTTGATAGCGTGTACAGGAAAACACTATAAAGGCTTCTTCGACATTATGGCACAGTCCACATCACACGAAGCTACTAAGATGGATTAAACTGCAAAATCGTGCACGGAGGACGGATGACAGACTCGTACAAGGTGAAGACCGTTGTAATGCGAGGTTGCTTACTCTCACTCTTTCTCATTCTCGTGGTGATTGACTGTATTATGAAGACATCAACATCTGGGGGGGGGGGGAAGCACGGTATACAGTGGACAGTCAGAATGCATATGGACGATCTGTACTTCACAGTTTATCTGGCTCGTCTATCTCACATGCAACAACAAATGCAAGAGAAGACGACCAGTATAGCAGCAGCCTCAGCAGCAGCAGGTCTCAAAATACACATATGGAAAATCAAGATTCTCTGAAGTAACACATCATGCGCCAACCGAATCACTCTTGATGGGGATGACATGGAGAACGTTAAAACCTTTGTATATCTGGGCAGTATCATCGACAATCAAGGTGCATGTATCTGATGCGGATGTGAGGGCGCGGATCGGCAAAGCATGGTCAGCATTTCTACAAATGAACAACATTCGAAATTCACACACTTGTCAACAAACATCAAAGTCAGAATTTTCAATACAAATGTCAAGACATTTCTACTCTAAGGGGCACAAACTTGGAGAACTACGAAAGCCATCTTTCGGAAGATACAAGTGTTTATTAACAGTTGTCCACGCAAAATACTTCGGATTCGATGAACAGCACCCAACGCCATCACAAGACAACCCTCACTTGGAACCCTCAAGGTCAAAGCAACAGAGGACGGCCATTAAACACAATATGACGAGAGATAAAGAAAGACATGAGAAGAATAAACAAAAATTGGACAGAACTGGAAATGGAAGGCCAGGATATAGTCGTTTTGAGAATACTGGTTGGTGGCCTATGCTCCATCGGCGAAGGGGGGTCGGTAACAGGCGTAAGTTATGAAGTAATTTGCTCAGAAAGAAGAGTGTCACATCTAAAAGTATTTTGAAGATCAGAAGATATTTGAAAGAAGGCGGTCAATAATCTGCCTGTAATACAAATTTATATCTGAAGATTAGGCGTGCATATTTTGTAATAGATGACGTCTTCGCCAAAGATATGTATTCTACATTTTATCATGTGACTTACAACCTCTCGAAATAGTGGACACGCTTCAGGTTAGTTAGGTCTGTCTTCACAAACAATATTTTAAAGTTGATAAACGGCCAGCAGTCGATAAGTGTAAACATTCTAGTCGCACGAGGGGATCATTTGAGTTCGATTTTTACCGGATACGATTATCTCCTTAAGATTAAATATGTATGTGTTGTTGAAGTTTGTCAAATATCATTAAGTTTATTTTCGAAGGTTAGATCTATCGTTTATTTTCATCCGTAAGAGTCCAGTTTTGTTGACTGACAGACAGAAACCCAAATCTTTACTTACCTGTTGGAGATAATATCTGTCATGGTTTGAGACCTTTCCCTAAATCTACACACATCCTGATCATTATTGTCAATAAATCACAAACACATCAAAACAAAAATCTTGGATTCCTTTTGCTCTAACCACTACTACCCAAAACATACCGTAAACTCTTAGCTATTGATTAATAAAATCATGTGTAGTGAAGGAGAACACAGGTGAGGGCAACCGAATTGTTACTCAGTAAAATCGGAAAACCATATCGTAAATCGTTCATTTGCAAAATATCAGTTCATCATATCGAACTGGACTGTTCCTGTTGCAAAACATCAATCCATTGTCACTACTATTCATGCGTTTCATACAAATTCCATTGTGTTCTAACTCTTCCTTTCTTGATCTTCCCCCATCTTCTGCTGTCAGACATTACGTTGACACTCACGTCATATACTACTTATAAGTAGCTCGCACCACAGCACCACACATGGTATTTATTCCAATTATCCCAACAAACACTGACCATTTTTACTCTTAAATATTAATAACAATGAGACCTTACTAGCGATAATGATAAACCGTTGTAACACTTAACTATAAAGTAAATTGTCTATTTCCTTATTTTTTCCTCTGATCTATTTGTTTTAGGGAATTGAATATGCCAATAGAAATCGTGGAACGCTAAACAATAGTAATTTACACTCTATGAATCCTGAGTCGATACCAAAACAAACACCACGAATAAGGCCAGATGCTCAAGAAATATATGAGTCAAATGAAGGTCGAATGTGTAAATTACTATTGAGCAAGTGAGTAGTTTGATGATTGATTGTTTTATGGTCGATTCGTGACAAGTAACTTTAACAGCAATCATTTTCTTGGTCATTTAAAAGTTTTTTATCCTCGTGCTTATCCAATAAGTTGCTTATGGAAGACTGTTTAAAGACTGTGTAAACTCAGATCAGTGTACTTGGTCATATTGAACGATTACTAAAATATTATTTCAGTTCATATTCTATGGTAGATAGTGTAGACTGTGATCTATTGATCAAATTAATATATTAGAAATGATTTCGACTAACTCCTCATTACACATATCGTCCTAATAGCAGATGGCAAGAAACAGTCAGAAGGAATACTTGTCAATAGGTTTCATACTCTCTGAGAATTGTAGACAGTAAATATATATACAATCTCAAGTAAATATGTCTTCTGTGTGCAATCTTAAGTAACGTCACCTACTAATCAAATTCAGTTTCTGCGTAGCACTGTGCTAGGTAGTAGTTTAACAGTAACCTCTAGTAGAAATGAGTCATTCAAACTAATCGATCATCAATAGTAGATCTGCTTAGCCATTAGCATTGAGCAGATTATACACGTTAGAACTCAAGAATGGTTGAATATGCAGTGAGAACTATGATTAACCCGAGAATCTGTTTCTTTAAAACCTAGAATTCCTCAAACCAAAACCGCTTCATTATAAATTTAGCTTCAATAATCAATCCTATAGTTAATTACAGCCTGTCATCCAGAAATAACATGATAAATTCGATTTATTATCTGTTTATATGAACAAAATTTTAAAATTTGTTTTTACATTTTTTTCCCTGAATATCAGTGATAAATTAAAACAACACGTGCCGCGGAAACCGAAATTTTACCCGAATACCAATGATATTGTGGCAAGATCAGGTGGTGTGGCGGCTAAAAGTTGTTTAAATCCACAGAAAACAAAATGGTGCCGAACAGTACGAATGACACGGACAGCATCAATTAGAAAGAAACATCGAAATAGTTAAAGTAGTTAGTATTTTGTCTTCTGTTATTCAGAATAATACTTACGATTATATCAATGTACAATAATTGATTGAGGCAGTTGTGAATTTTTTGTTTAGATTTTTAAAATATATCGTTTTTGCTACAAACCGATGTCTGTTCAATGTTTATTTGCATCTTATTTGCATCGATTTTCCAGCAGCCATTAGAATTGCCTATTCACCGACCCACATCAGACAACATTCTCAAACTTTCAAGTCTCTCATTGTTCATCCACTTGACTAAGTCTGCATTCAATGAATTTGATATAACACAATTCGTCTTTTGATTCAACGAAGATACATGCAAGTTGTGTTTAAATGATGCGAACCAGATTCATCAAAATGGACATTTAAAAGCTGGGGAACCAAATCACGGTAAATTATGATTTACCAATGTTCTTGAGTATCGTGCACGGAGGACAGCTAACCGACTCTTTTGAGGTGAAGACCGGTGTCAGGCAAGGTTGCTTACTCTCACCCTTTCTCTTTCTCCTGGTGATCGACTAGATTATGAAAACGTCAACATCTGGAGGGGAGCACGGTATCAACTGGACAGTTAGGACGCAGCTGGACGATCTGGACTTCGCAGATGACCTGGCTCTTCTGTCGCACCAATCAAGTCACTCTTGATGGAGATGCCTTGGAGGACGTTAACACATTTACATATCTGGGCAGCATCATCGACAATCAAGGTGGATCCGATGCAGATGTGAGGGCACGGATTGGCAAAGCAAGGGCTGCATTTCTACAGTTGAAAAATATCTGGAACTCCAAACAACTTTCAAACAAAACCAAAATCAGGATCTTCAATACAAATGTCAAGACAGTTCTACTGTATGGAGCGGAAACATGGAGAACTACCAAAGCCATCATCCAGAAGATACAAGTGTTTATTAACAGTTGTCTACGCAAAATACTTCGTATTCGTTGGCCAGACACCATCAGCAACAACGAACTGTGGGAGAGAACAAGTCAGATTCCAATGGAGGAGGAAATCAGGAAGAAGCGGTGGAAATGGATAGGACATACACTACGAAAAGCACCCAACTGCGTCACTAGACAAGCCCTCACATGGAGCCCTCAAGGCAAAAGGAAAAGAGGAAGGCCGAAGAATACATTACGCCGAGAAATAGAGAAAGATATGAGAGGAATGAACAAAAATTGGACAGAACTGGAGAGGGAAGCGGAGGACAGAGTTGGCTGGAGAAAACTGTTGGGCGGCCTATGCTCCATTGGGGGTAACAGGCGTAAGTAAGTAAGTAGTAATGTTCTTGAGTGAACCAATCAGAACTAAGTTAACGAAATTTAATGTACGGCGATATATAACCTGTATATCCTTATTGATGAATTAAAAATTGGAAGGATATGGTCCTTAAAATCTCTATTTTAAAATCTAAAAGTGGATTTAAGATGGTATTTAAGCTGAATTACCAAATACAATTGCTTTCAAGACAAATTGTTTGAGTTATCGAGAATTTCGTGAAGCTGGCTAATGTTGTCTATCACTTTCTAACTCTCACTCTAAATCTCAACCATAAGACTCTTAAGTTGGTAGACAGTAGAATTACAGAGCTTGGTATCATAGCTGATGTTAGTTGGTAACGAAGATTCTAATCTAAACTTGAAAGACCAAACTCAGAACTCAGACTTAAATTTCAAAACCTAGCAATAAACTTCCAGCAACGTAGCTAACCTCAGTTCGGTGAATGAAACTTTGTGGGAGTGATTACCCTAATGCATACATAACACTAGCCTTAAGTTTAATAATTGAAATTAACTTTTTCCCTCCATTGCACGGAATAATTGATCATTCAAGGGTTGACTGTTCCACTGATATTTTATGACTTTTAGCTGTTGATTTTTTTACGACTAGACAGCGTTTCCTGATTAGCTGACATGTCGTTCAAGATCTTCAGTATAATATAGTTTTACCCGGATTTTGATATGCGTAAAAAGATTTCACAAGTTACAACATTAAAACCTTTGACATCTGTAGTAAATAACAGAGAGTAATATGTAAACTATGAACAATCTACTCCTAGACATAGTGCTAATGTTAAAATATTTCACTTTAAAATTTATGACCACTGTCTAAAAATGGATTCAAAACAATGACTGAACAGGCTTTTGTGGAGTGATGATCAACTTGCTGATTATAATACTTGTTAGCAAGTCAGATATTGTCCTTTAAGAAGACAAACAGACAGATACAACACAGAACTTCGTACATAAGTACATCAGTTCAGGTTGCCATACCACGCATTAGCACAGAGATGCAAATGTCAGTTCAAATCCAAGAGTGATAGTGATAGTAGAAGTATTAGCAGCAATGGAGAATATTAGGGAGCAAAGATATGATTGGAAAAGTATAATTCAGTGAGATAAATTTAGAAGGAGAAAGATAGAGGCAAACGTAGACAATATAACCTCCAATTCGTGGAATTCATTACTTACTTACTTTCGCCTGTTACCCCCAATGGAGCATAGGCCGCACACCAGTTTTCTCCAACCAACTCTGTCCTGGGCTTCCCTCTCCAGTTCTGTCCAATGTTTGTTCATTCCTCTCATATCTTTCTCCATTTCTCGGCGTAGTGTGTTCCTTGGCCTTCCTCTTTTCCTTTTGCCTTGAGGGTTCCATGTGAGGGCTTGTCTAGTGACGCAGTTGGGTGCTTTTCGTAGTGTATGTCCTATCCATTTCCACCGCTTCTTCCTGATTTCCTCCTCCATTGGAATCTGACTTGTTCTCTCCCACAGTTCGTTGTTGCTGATGGTGTCTGGCCAACGAATACGAAGTATTTTGCGTAGACAACTGTTAATAAACACTTGTATCTTCTGGATGATGGCTTTGGTAGTTCTCCATGTTTCCGCTCCATACAGTAGAACTGTCTTGACATTTGTATTGAAGATCCTGATTTTGGTTTTGTTTGAAAGTTGTTTGGAGTTCCAGATATTTTTCAACTGTAGAAATGCAGCCCTTGCTTTGCCAATCCGCGCCCTCACATCTGCGTCCGATCCACCTTTCTCGTCGATGATGCTGCCAAGATATGTGAAGGTGTTAACGTCCTCCAAGGTATCTCCATCAAGCGTGATTCGGTTGGTGCATGTTGTGTTGCATCGGAGAATTTTGCTTTTTCCTTTATGTATGTTGAGACCTACTGCTGCAGAGGCTGCTGCTACACTCGTCGTCTTCTCTTGCATTTGTTGTTGAGTGTGCGATAGAAGAGCCAGGTCATCTGCGAAGTCCAGATCGTCCAGCTGCGTCCTAACTGTCCAGTTGATACCGTGCTTCCCTCCAGATGTCGACGTCTTCATAATCCAGTCGATGACCAGGAGAAAGAGAAAGGGTGAGAGTAAGCAACCTTGCCTGACACCGGTCTTCACCTCAAAAGAGTCTGTCAGCTGACCTCCGTGTACGATTTTGCAGTTGAATCCATCATAAGAATTCCGTATGATGTTGACTATTTTCTCAGGCACACCGTAGTGTCGAAGAAGCCTCCACAGTGTTTTTCTATCCACGCTATCGAATGCTTTCTCGTAGTCGATGAAGTTGATGTAGAGTGGTGAGTTCCATTCAATTGATTGTTCCACAATGATCCGTAATGTAGCAATTTGGTCAGTACACGATCGATCCTTACGAAATCCAGCCTGTTGATCTCGAAGTTGGGCGTCTACGAAGTCCTTCATTCTGTTTAACAATACTCTGTTGAAGACTTTGCCTGGTATTGAAAGAAGAGTGATGCCTCTGTAGTTTTCACACTTGCTGAGATCGCCTTTCTTTGGTATTTTGATGAGGTATCCTTCTTTCCAATCTGATGGTACTTGTTCCTCATCCCAAATCTTCTTGAAGAGAATGTGAAATATTTTCGCAGTTGCTTCCACATCTGCTTTCATTGCCTCTGCTGGAATGTTGTCTGGTCCTGCTGCTTTGCCGTTCTTGATTTGTCTGATGGCTATACTGATCTCCTCAATCGTAGGTGCGCCAATATTAATTGGGAGGTCCGTGGATGCTGCTTCGATGTTGGGTGGGTTCAGTGGAGCTGGTCGATTCAATAGTTCCTTAAAGTGCTCCACCCACCTATTTCGCTGTTCGTCAGTGTTGCTGATTATTTTCCCTTCCTTGCTTTTCACTGGTCGTTCTGGTTTACGATAGTTTCCGGCGAGCTTCTTTGTAGTTTCGTACAATTGTCTCAAGTTTCCTTCTCTTGCAGCCTTTTCCGCCGTCATTGCTAGATAATCCACATATTTTCGTTTGTCAGCTCTGATGCTCTTCTTCACTTCCCTGTTTGCTTCTGTATACTCGGCTTGCGCCTTAACTTTCTCTGCTCTTGTTCGGCAGACATTGATAGCTGCCTTCTTGTTCCTCCTTTCTTGAATTTTTTCAAGAGTACCAACAGAGATCCACTCCTTGTGATGGTGCTTCTTGCGACCAAGGACCTCCTGACATGTTGAAGTGATTGCCTCCTTAATCCCTTTCCAACTGTTCTCCAATGTTGCTTCCTCTCCATTGAGTAGATCCTGAAAGGCCTGGAACCTATTGGTGAGGGCTATCTTGAATTCGTTGAGTTTTACGGTATCCCGAAGAAAGGCCGTATTAAACTTCTGTGATGTTGTCTGCCCCGCTGTCCAGTGCTTCTTTAGCTTCAATCTCATTTTGGCGATCAGCAAGTGGTGATCTGAAGCTATATCAGCTCCTCTCTTGGTTCTCACATCCTCCATGGTCCTTCTGAACTTTTTGTTGATACAGATATGGTCAATTTGGTTTTGAGTAGTGTGGTCCGGTGAAATCCATGTGGCTTTGTGAATGCGTTTGTGCGGGAATATTGTGCCACCGATGACCAGTTTGTTGAAGGCACATAGGTTTGCAAATCTCTCACCGTTTTCGTTCCTTTCTCCCAGTCCATGTCGTCCCATGATGTCTTCATATCCAGTGTTGTCCATTCCAACCTTGGCATTCAGGTCTCCCATAAGAATCGTCAAATCCTTTGGTGAACATTTATCGACGACTGACTGCAGCCTTTCGTAGAATTGATCTTTAACGTCGTCATTGTAGTCATTG